AGAGCCCCACGTCTCATTCTGTTAACCCAGCACTCAGGTGTCTGAACAAAAAGGATTGCTATCAGACTAAATCCAAAATGGGCTATGAGTTTCAGGCCAGCTTGCGATACAGTTTGAAAACCTCAAACTGTATCTCTCAAAACAAACAAAAATAATAAACAATTTGATAAACTAGAACTAGGAGTCAGATGGATACACACCTTTATTGTTTATCATGGGTGGTATATACTTTTAACTGCCGCACTTGAGTGCCAGAGGCAGGTGGATTTCTGAAAATTCCAGGCCAGCCAGGTCTACATAGTGAATTCCAAGGCAATCATGACTGTATGCAATGACCTTGTCTCAAAAAGCCAAAGAAATAAAAATAGAACTTACCTTTCTCATTGGAGGTGTACCATTCTTAATTTTTAAAAGCAACTTCATTATTTTTCTCTCCTTTTGCTCTTCTGGACTAAGGGTTGACTCGTCGACATCAACCTACAATAATTGAAAGGTGGATGAAGCCAGTGGTCTCTAACTCCCGAACCAAGAACACTTCACGGTTGCTAGCATCACTCACCAACAGCTTATCAAAGTACTGGATGTCATCAGGTTTCAGGAACGGAAGATTCCCGGACGGCTGGTCACTGACACTCTTCATAGTTCTGTCTTCCGTCTGCATGTGGAACCCAGTCATGCCGCCCAAAGGCGTGGGGGTTGCGGTCAGCTTCCGAGCTGGGGTCCGGATAGGGACATAACCGGCTGGAGGGGGAAGGACCTGAGAGAGGACAACACACTTAACAGGGCTGCCTCGGCTGTCCATACCCAGAGACAGCACAGGAGCATTTACACTAGAGATGGTACAACTTACTAGCTAGCAGGTTAATTTCCCTGAAGAAGAAAACATAGCCCACTGTTCAATGTTAATTAACAGTTAAGAAGATGTTTATGAAAAATACTTCATTTCTAATTTGTTAATTAAAATTTAAGTGAGAAAGGAATACGTGAAGCACTCTATAAATTCTGGTCACCTTCAAACATTGACATGCTTGAAATATCAACATGTTGTCAAGCCAACACGTGAAACTGACAAAACTTGGAATCTCTAAACCCTCTCAGAGCGACACCCACAACCACTCACTGGAACAGGAATAAACGTGGGTGGCTTTGCATAAGAGATAAAGTCGCGCATTCGTTTATTTTAGAAATACAGTGAGTGAGCATCCACACAACCCAAAGCTAGAAAAGTGTATTTTAAGAACCAACTCTAGGGGCTACAGAGATGATAAGTCATTCATTGGTTAAGAGCACCGACTGCTCTTCCAGAGATCCTGAGTTCAAGTCTCAGCAATCACAACCTGTAATGAAATCTGGTGCCTTCTGGCCGACAGGAACACATGCAGGTAAAACACTGCATGAATGAAATGAATGAGTGAATGAACGAACGAACCAACTCTACAAAACTGACTTAAATACAGAAAAGTAAAACTAGAGAAACTGCCAAGACCCTCTGAAAGAAATGACCAACTAAAGCCCCTGCAAAACCCATACAATGTCTAAAAATGAGTTAAAAACAGCAAAATTTGGTTTTTAAAGCAATGAGACTCTTTTTTTGCAGAGAATTACGATTTGCTGGGTAGGACAATAAGTCTTATGATCCCTTACTGAAAAGTAATAAAAGCCAGGCGTGGTAGAATACCATCTAGACAGATCTCTGATTTTCAGGTCAGTCTGGTACATCTCAAGTTCCAGGCTAGCCATAGTTACACAGTGAGACACTGTCTCAAAATCTAATAATGGTTTTAAAGCAGGTACTAGAGAAAGGTCTCAGTCACCTACAACACTTGCACCTCAAGTCATGAGACCAGAGTTCAGACCCCAGAACCCATGTTGGGAAACTCACAACAACCTGTAATTCCACTGGAGGAATTGCAATGGCTTCTGCAAACACCTGAGCTTACATCCAAATGATAATACAAATAATTAAAAATGAAATAATATCTTTTAAAGATTTTTAAAAACTGTATATAACCGTGTGCCTGGATTTAAGTTTGTCCACTTGAGCATAGTGCCTGAGAAGGCCAGCAGAAAGCACTGGGTTCTCATAGATTCACAGGTGGCTGTCAGTCCCTTTATGTGGGTGCTGGGAAATGAACTTCAGTCCCCCACAAGAGCAATACATACCCTTAACCACTGAGACACTTCTCCAGCCCACAAAATAAAAGGGTGTTTGGTTTTTTGGTTTTTGGGAGGGACGGGGGTTAAGACAGGGTCTCTCTATGCAGGCAGCCTTGGCTGGCCTGGAACTTATGGACAAGACTGGCTTCAAATTCAAGAGAGCTGCCTGCCTCTGACTCCCATCAATCACTAGAATTAAAGACAGGCATCACCACAGCAGGCAAAATAATAAAAGCTCCATGTTACTCATTTTCCATTAGTTTTTCAACTGAAATATACTTAGTAGTACCGGGAGGGAGGGAGGGAGGGAAGGAGGGAAGGAGGGAAGGAGGGAAGGAGGAAAGGAGGGAAGGAGGGAAGGAGGGAAAGGGAAGGAAGGGAAAAGGAGGGAGGGAGGGAGAGAGGGAGAGAGGAAGGGAGAGAGAGAGGCGGGGAGGGAGGGAGAAGGAAGGAACTGGAGAAGGAAGGAACTGACTAGTAAATTTGGCAATTTGCTAGGCAGTTTTTTTTTCCAACCAAATTCTTAAAACTCATATTCTAAATAAACACATTTATCACTGGTACCTTATATCCTTCTGGAAACATAGCATCTAATTCTTCATCAGAAAGTGGGCGGTTCCGCTCATCAATTTCTCTCTCCCACCGCCATGCCTGCAGCTGCTCAGGAGTCATACTCATTATGTGACCTATCAAAACAGCAAAATTCTTAGTGAGCCACAGTGCCAGACTTGATCTTTTTTGTTTGTTTGTTTGTTTGTTTGTTTTTCAAGACAGGATTCTCTGTAGCTTTGGAGCCTATTCTGGAACTCGCTCTGTAGACCAGGCTAGCCTCCAACTCACAGAGACTCACCTGCCTCCACCTTCTAAGTGCTGAGGTTAAAGGCGTGTACCACCACAGGCTGGCCATTTCTATATTCTTATTCTTAATAGAAAAGCTAGCATTAAAGGCAATCCAGAAAAACCAGGGAAAAGAAAGAAAGAAAGAAAGAAAGAGAGAGAGAGAGAGAGAGAGAGAGAGAGAGAAGAGAGAGAAAGAAAGAAAGAAAGAAAGAAAGAAAGAAAGAAAGAAAGAAAGA